TTGTTGCCTTTAAGAACAGGTCAGAGGCTAATGCAATAAGTAACTCACCTCCTGGCTCCCCAGAGCTGATCCACTGCCTATGAGACATAAAAGTCAGATGTGAGATAGAATCCTGTCCACTTGCCTGGTTTGGTGCAGCCTCAACAGCACTCAAGAAACTCGACAACATACAGGACAAAGCAACCTGCTTGATTGGCACCACATCCACCAATCACTCCCTCAATCAATATTAAAATCACAGAAGGACATGTTCGTTTCTACCTCTTGAATATCAAGATTCTTTGATGATTGGTACCAAGCTCCCTCGTCATGGAAGACAGCATGATCAACCTTCTGACAATAAGCAGCAATCCCCAAAAGATTAGGTCTTCTTGAAACCACAAAATATCTACTTGAAGTGTTTTGAGGACCTTATTAAGTGAAGATCATCCATGTGGCAAATGAAAGCACCAAGCGGCTTTGCAAGTGAAGTTACAATCTGCATTTGACTAACATCATCCTGGCCAAATAGGATAAACCAGTGTGGTGGGCAATTTTGTCAGCACCACATACCAATGCTAACACGCCAAATCATGAGAAAATACTCATCTCCCAAATGAAATCCAAACATTTTAAATCGGCCACAGGTGATGGACAAATTCCTCAACAGACGTGGATATTTCAGGGAATTTCATTCGAACAAAACTCATCTATTTTGCTTCAAGGTGACAATCATTTTGGCCCAGTCTTCAAATGAATCATCTACCAGCTCCATTACGTTCAGCAGTACAATGATCTCAGTCCAAGAATGCTGGGTTAGGCATCCTTTGGAGGTGTGCCGTGTTCCACTATCTACAATCCTTAAAATGGTTCCAAAAGCTTGCTTACCTTGGACATTAAGCTGAGAATTTTAATTGCTGATTGTGCCTTGGGCTAACTGGAGACGTAATGACTGAGCATAAGCTTTTTATTTCCCCCTTTGTAGGTGGAGAAAAACTGAGACAGCAGTCACACTAACAGGAGCACCAATGTTAATTTTAAATCCTGTTGGTGTTAATAAGCAATTACCCATAGGTTCGCTGACCAGTTTATCTTTGCCAAGTATTTACAACCTATTGGGGAAGGTTCATATCCCCAGATATTTCTCTCACAACACAGATCTTGTTGCAAATGTTTTCTACAAAGCCTTCCAATTAATATTTACAACATACTGCCTCTCAAACCAAGACATTTTTATTTTGAATGCCCAAGTGACTGACTAAATGACATGCATGTCTTTGAAGCACTTTGGTTAAGATCTCATGCCTTTCCTTACTCAGTCATGGATGTGACAGTCACTGGCTGGACCAGCATTTATTGCCCATCCTCAATTGCCCAGAGAGCAGTTAGGAATCAACCATATTGCAACAGGTCTGGAGTCACATGTAGGTCAGACCATGTAAGGATGGCAGATTTCCTTTCCCAAAGGGCATTAGTTAATTACACGGAATTTTACTAAAATCAACATTGTTGCCTTTAGGCCAGCTTTACTTTCTATATTGCACATGTTTATTGAATTTAAAATTTCAACATCTACCACAATGGGACTCAAACCCATACCCTCAGCACATTAGTCTGGGTTTCTGGATTATTACCTAGTAAATTACCACTATGTCACTACCACCCTGATGTTTTGTTCTTGGCCTCATTACCTTTTCCTTTGGAACTATATCCATCCCAGTAAATATTTGCATAACACCACATTTGATTCCATAGATTGCATTGGAGGCCAATAGATAACAACTATCTTTCTCAAGCTTAATGCTAGATCCATTTGACGCATTTCCAAAGGTTTTGTATCTGAAAAACAAAACACTGTTCCACAAGGCATATAAAGGAAGCAATAAAACAAACCAGTTTGATTAAAACCAAAATGTCAGACAGTAATTCAAGTAGGTTTTGAATATTTTGGATTCTTTTGGTTCAAATGGTCAGGAGAAAAAAACTTCACTGTCCACTGTATGATGATGTATTTGACTCTGGTTCCTTTCAAATGTTTAAATCTTTCAAAAAGTTTATTTTAATCGCCGTGCCAGTTGCTTGTACACACAAGCATGCCTGGTCAATCAGTAACTAGGTGATATTATCAATAAGTAATAAGTCCTGAAAGTGCTGGTGTCCTATCTAACACGATAATACCAATGTCAGTCAATACTCCTTCCTTCTTCATCACAACCCTTACAATCTTCTGCAATGTGTTCAGTCATCTACCTTGGTTGAGTTTTCTTCAGAATTTATTACATGCACAGGCAATCTTGTGAACGTAAATAGAGTATTCTGCACAGATTTCACTATTGACATCATATCTGAAGAAAACAGAGTGGTTGATGTGTTAAGAGCCTGACGGCTGGCTTCCAGGATGCACAAACGATTCTTCTTCCAGAAGAAGCAGCAAAGACCAGGGAAGCAATTTAATGCAAACTAAAACAACTGAGTTCTGATGAACTTTCACTGGACCTAAAACATTAACTCTGATTTTTTGCTCCACAGATGCGGCCAGACCTGCTGAGCTTTTCCAGCAATTTCTGTTTTGTTGAAGAAATTTAATGCCCTTGCCCATTTGGTGGCAAAGTGGAGGCAGTCATTTAGATCAGGTAAGACAAGACGTGCCACCCTCCCACCTACACTCTGAATAAATCCATGCCAAGATGGCCGGTGGACAGCCATCCCAACATGCTGAAAAATGGAGGCCATAAAGTGAGCAATAAATGCTCACTAAAGGAGTCTCATCCCACCATTGGTATTAATCCAGTCACCGATGGGTAAGCCCCTCATTGAAAAGGCACTCAGGATCTGGTCCAGGGATCAAGCATCATGGACACACCATCAGCAACCACCACCACCTCAGTGGTGCTGTCTTACAACAGAAATGTCTGCTTCAGATTGCCTGGCAGCTCTTGGCTTCTGGGACTTCCACCTCCAAGGTCCTTAATCCTTAAGGAAGGTCTGCCAGTGTCTATTTAATGTGGCAGGGTTTCCCCAAAAGAGGTGACATGAGCTCTTACTAGTTGGTCAGCCAAAAGGACAAGATCCTGCCACTTCTATTAAATCCAGCCCATGAATATTTTAGACATTCCTACCAACTAGAAAAGAGACAATAAGTGGCACAGGAGTATGATGTGGGGGAGGAGAACATTTCAGTAATACAATAAGTCAAACTTACTCAGGCAGTCTAACTGGAGCTATATTAATTTTACACCTAGATTTGCTGCCAATCCCATTAGCATCAAACACTGAATTCACTGCGAATAATTGGGAACCTGCTTTTGGGAATAAACTGAAATCATGTAATTTATTCAATACACTCCATCTTTAATTGTGAAAATGAAAGTGACTCAAACCATCAAGCACTGTTAAATCTACAACTCATGCTAAAACCCTCAAAATTTATTCAAAGAAATAGAAAAGAAAGTTCATGCCTCAGCAAGGATCATTTTAATTTTAGGCTTAATTTTACAGTCATTTTGAAATGGCGCAATGCGAGAAGTTAGTGAATTGAGCAGGGCAGTGAAAGCTGTTATAGTGAACAAAGATGTAATCAGGCATGACCCTTGACATCAAGTGTAAAAGGATTTAGAAAATCCAGTTATAATCCTTTGCATGATCGACCTGCAACCAGGTTTGCCTAGTATCAAGGTGCTCAGATTGAGATAATAAGGAATTTGGGTAAAAAAGGGTGAAAAATTGGACCCAGGCACTTCAGGAGCCAAGTCGGACAACAATTCTACATGATAAAGCTTGGAATTCTCTTGTATAAATGACAATTTATGGAACTAAATTGGAGATCAACTGGTTGTTGTAAATGAACAATATTGAGTGGTATGAGGCAAAGGAGAATATAGGGATTTGGATAAGGGACCTTGTGGCATGGTGGTACTGTGCTCTCCTGTGCCAGGAGATCTGGGTTCAAGTCCCACCTGCTCCAGAGGTGCATCATAACATCTCTGAGCATGTTGATTAGGAGAGTATATGTAGGAATATAGAATCATAGAATCCCTACAGCGTGGAAGTAGGCCATTCAGCTCATCAAGGGCATACCAACTCGCCGAACAGCAACCCACCCAGCCCCAGACCCAGACCCAGACCCTGACCCTTCCCTAACCCTGTAACCCTGCATTTCCCATGGCCAATCCAGCGAACTTGCACGTTTTGGGACTGCGGGAGGAAACTGGAGCATCCAGAGGAAACCCATGGGGAGAATGTGCAGACTCCACACAGACAGACAGTCACCTGAGGGCAGAATCAAGCCCAGGTCCCTGGTGCTGTGAGGCAGCAGTGCTAACCACTGAGCCACCATGCCGCTCCATGGTGGTTTACAGGTCAGTCATGACTTCATTTAATTGGGGAGGGAAAGCAAGAATGACCAAACAGACTCTTGAGGGATTAAGTGGCCTGCTTTATTTCCTCAGTTATTTTTGCCAGGACATGTTGTCCAAGATACCAGCTAGTCAATGTATCTTGAACTGTTTTGTCATAAACTATGTAGTTTATGCCCTTGAACGTGCATGGCTGTGTCCGTGTATGGTCAGAGGGGTTAGAATATTTTAACTGAGTAAATTCCTATGACAATCTTCAGTCACCTAGCATTCTCACCACCAGTGACAGACCTGTGCACTTGTGTACTCTTAACACTATTCTCAAATGTTATCATCAAGTTAAACATCCAAACGAGCATGTTAGTAAAGTTAAGAATGAAACCACAGAATGATGTTATAGTCAAAACGTGCACAATTACCATCTTACTACTTATTTAAATCTTAAAATATCAGCCTACAGGATGGTTGCACAAAAGTGTCATATGTTTGTTGTTAGTATATTCAATCAAACCTGAGAAACAGCATTCTTCAAAAGAGCAAAGCATAAGACTGCATCCTCACCAAAAAGAAAAGGATAGCAACTCGCTGGTTTAATCAGCTATCTGCTTCCTGTTTCAAAACCCATGCAGGACAACAATGTGCATGCCAAGTAAGAAGTCAACTCACAGCATTAGGTGTAAAACCTTGTATCCTGCATGGGTCAAAAAGTCACCAGATGAGCTATATGACCTTGTGCCACTTGTTGCCTGCGTACAGCCCCTGTTAAGAGAAATAGGGTTTTGAGTTTGCATGTGGTTAGTAATCAATGAAGCAGCAGGTAGGGCTTCACTCATTACTGAAAGAAACAAAATACAACTGACACAGACATTCTTAAACTGCTTCCTGACCAAGGATTAACATTTCAGATTTTGTGCATATAGTATTTATAATGGTCAAGCTTTGCAATGTCTTACCAGGGAGGATAGAAGGGGAAATCTGAGCAACCATTCTTCATGAGTGTGCTGTAAATTGTCACCATATAAAGCACTGCAATATAATTTTATACTCCTCATATGATGGGGGTGCTGCAAGTTTGCTATTTGAACCACAAGACACTATATACAAATGCATCTGGCTGTCGACCAGTGCCCTAATGGCAAATGGGCCATCAAAACAAACAAGATGTCCCAAAGTGCATTCCAGCCTGTGAAATATTTTACGATGTTTGTCACTGTCACATGGAATATACTTCACAGAAAGACGTCGTTCAACCCACCCTATCAAGGGCAGTGTTTGTGATCCACTTGAGCCTTCTCACAACTGTTTCTCACCCATGCATAACCTTCTATTCCTTTGTCCACCATATCTAGCTTCCCCTTAAATGCACCTAGACTTTTCACAAATCTGGTTTGTCAACAGGATGTGGTCACCACTGGTTAGGCCAACATGAATTGCCTGTTCCTAACTGCCCAGAGGGTAACCAGTGTGGATCTGGAACCACATGTAGGCCAGACCAGGTAAAGACATCAAACTTCCTTCTCTAAAAGCACAAGTTAACTAGAGGGGTTTTTACAACAGTTGACAATGGTTACATGGGTATTATTGGGCTAGCTTTTTATTTCCGATTTGCCTAGAGTTCAAATTTCACCATCTGCCTTGGTGGGTTTCAAACCTATATCCCCAGCACATTAACCTGGAGCTGTGGATTACTAATCCCAGGTGACATTACCATCCCTGCAGAAGCAACATCCACATTTTCACTACTATTTGGGTGAAGAGGTTTCTTCTGAATTTTCATCAGAATTTCTTCAGGATGATCTTCCACGAGTGACCTCAGTTGTAACGCAAGGAAACTAAAATTGTCCACAATAGCTTCTCACTAACTGCCATGCGATAGTGGTCAAAGATCCCAGAATACTGGAAGAATAAATCGGTGCCCGCACCGTGGACTTTTTTTTTCTTCGCCCAAAAGGTCAGACAACAGGTCCACTTCACAACTCAGAGGAGGATATGGCATCCCTCAAGACTACAATGAGCTGTCCACCTGGATGATGTGGTCAAATCTCATTAATGTAGCTTTGATCCAAAACTTCCTAATTCAGAGTGTTACTGTGCCAAGGTGAAAGAAATATTCATTGCCCATCAAGCAAATAGAAAATTCTGCTCCTTTAAGTTCCACAGTAGCTTAGAATCATGGAGTCATACAACACAGAAACAGACCCTTTGGTTCAACCTCATCCATACTTACCTGGTATTCTAAACTGAATAGTCCCATTTAGAGACACATCCCTCTAAATCCTTCCTATTCATGTAATTGTAACCGCCTCCACCAGTACCTTTGGCAGCTCATTTCATACATGCACCACCCTCTGTGTGAAACAGTTGCTGTCAGGCCCCTTTTAAATCTTTCCCCTCTCACCTTAAACCTGTGCCCTCTAGTTTGGACTCCTCTTCCTGGGTCAAAAAGATCTTGGCTATTCAGGAGGCTACATTTGCTGACACTGAGAAGCACACACAGTATGCTCAAGGGAGACAGAGACAGGAGAAGCCTCCGATTCTCCCAGCCACCTCTGACCCACACCTGATCCTGAAGGTCTATTCTGCTGGTGGAGTACTGTTTCAGTGTCTCACCTGTTCTGTGCATATGTGCAATGCACACCTTGTGTGCAACGCAATGACGTAGAGGGTCTGGGGTTAGCCATTGAGGGTATGCTTGCACATTGCCAAATGAGATTAGAGGCACAGTTTCCCTGCTGTTCCAGTGTCAGCAAACACAGATTAAAAAATTAATGAAGTACGTGATAACAGCATGGGACTGATGAAAGGTCACTAGACCCAAAACATCAACTCTGCTTTCTCCTCACAGATGCTGCCAGACCTGCTGAGTTTCGCCAGCAATTTCAGTTTTTGTACCAGAATGGGACTGTTGGACCAATGGTCTCTGGGCTATGAGAACAAAGTAACATTCCACATAGGAGTTACAAATCAGCCATAGAACCAAAAAGTACAGCCTTAAGTACCACCATAAATTCTGCCTGCAAAATTGATGCAAGCAAAAAAAAAAATATAGCCACTGTCTAAACTGATCTGAATGGATCCCCTGTGCCCTGCCTCTTGCAAGTTTTCAGAGAGATACAGGGAAGTACTGACCCTTGGAAAATACTCAGCATGTGGAATTTCAAAACAAATGCACCTATTTAAGTTTACGTAAGCACAGTGGTTTTCAAGTGGACTGCTCTGGAGAACAGCTCTATAAATATGAATAAAGCTCTCCAGCCCCTATAGTTGTAGCCAGCAATCTATATCCCCGTTCCCCAATATAGACAAAGAATGGCACATCACAGCTGGACATTTCTTTCATTTATATCCATTCCCCTACTTTTTCTCCACACTCCTGCAATTTTTTTGAAAAGGTAAATATCCATTTCCAGTTTGCCTATAAAGGGAAAATAGTGTTCAATGTACTCAAGATCATCACAGCTCACTTAAAAAAAAATTCAGTTCTCCCTTGGCTATTTTGCCATTTATTTAACTTGCATTCACTGATTATTAATGCTTCGGTCACCAGAAGGAACTTCTCCGCATCTACTGTAACAAGGATATTCACAATTTTGAACACCTCAATAAATCTCCTTTCAACTTTCCTTACCATAAAGAGAACAATCCCAGCTTGCTAAATAAAAACCGAAAGAACTGCAGATGCTGTATATCAGAAACAGAAATTGGTGGTAAAGCTCAGCAGGTCTGGTAACACAGCTCTGCTCACCTTTGATGCCATATTGGTATCTCTTCTCTACAAGATGGTGACATCCTTTCCACAGTTGAATGCCAAGAATTGAACAAAAAATCATATACATGAAGGACAAGGATCTTATATGGGAATGATGGGTGTACTTATATATTGCTATATGCTTCACGTAAAATGAACAGTTTCATCTGATATGGGTCTCGTATTGGCATATTAATGTAGAAACATTGGAGCCGGTGTAGGCCACTCAGCCCCTCAAATCTGTACCAACTTCTAACTCACAGTTGATCATCCATCTGAACACCAGTTTTCCCACACGGACCCCACATCCCTCTATGTCATTTATCGAAAAATCTGAGTGTGTTGAAGACAGAGGTCCATGACTGAGCTTCCACAGCTCTCTGGGAAAGAATTCCTTTTCATGTCAATCCCAAACGGCTTGCCCCTTGCCTTGCGACAGTGGCCCCCACTTCTTGTCACTGTCCTCTGTCCCAGTAACAAGTAGTAAAACAAAAGTTGCAGATGCTGGAAGTCAGAAACAAAAACAGTGAACACAGTCCAGTCCATCACAAAATACAGCCTTCCTTCTATTGACTTCATCTATACTTTCCACTGTCTCAGGAAAGCAGCCAACATAAGAGACCTCTCCCACCCCAGTTACACTCTCCTCCACCAGGCAGAAGATACAAAAGTCTGAAAACAAGTACCAGATTCAAGAACAGCTTCTTCCCTACTGTTATCAGACTTACGAACGGACCTCCCAAGTTGGGTTGATCTTTCTCTACACCTTCTCTCTAGCTGAAACACTATATTCCACATTCTGTTCTATTACTCTAATATAGTTATGTAAAGGTATGAATTGTCTGGCTTGCACACAAAACAATACTTATGACTATCTCAGTACATGTGACAATAATAAATCAAATCAAATTGCTGGTAAAACTCAGCAGGTCTGGCAGCAACTGTGGAGAGAAAGCAGAGCTAACATTTTAAGTCCATTGTTCCTTCTACAGAACAAAGGGAAAATATCCTTTCTTCACCTAACCTTTTAACCCTTTAAGAGCTTTCTAACCTTCTGGAAGATCTCCCCTCGTTCTTCTAAACTCTAGATAAGCCCAGTCTCCTCAATTTCTCCTTACAGGTCAGTATCACCATCTCAAATTAGTCTGGTGAATCTCCACTACACACTTTATCCTTGGGGAAGATACCTTTGTTTAGGTACAGGAACAAAACCAGCACACAATACACCAAGTACGTAGTCTCATCAAGATTCTATACAACTGAAGAAAGCCGCCTTTTCTCCCACACTACAATAGAAGGCCACCATCCCATTTGTGATCCTAATTGCTTGCTGCAACTGCTCATTAGTTTTCAGTGACATATGGACAAGGACAGCCTAGTGCCTTTGAACATCAACACTTTCCAATCGCGCATAATTTAAGAAATACCCAACACCTCATATCATCTTCCGGTGCTGAAGTTACTAAATTTTGTGATCCCCTGCTGGAATATTTCTAGCAATATCTGTTTTCAATTACTCTTACAGGAGGATTGAAGTACAATTCACCAGTATACTCTTTTTCCATACCAAACAGCACTGCATTATCTAAAACATTTTGGACGGGGAGGGGACTCCACTGCATCTATTTTCATGCTATACAAAAAAATACAATTCCTAATTTTCAAAAAGTGTATTAGCCAGTTGTGACCTATTAATAAGAGCAGCTGAATTCACCAAGATTAATGGTCAGGAACAAAAAGAAAACTATTAAAGATGTACTTGGCAAAACAAACCTTCACGTCCTTCAAAAGGATATGGCATACAGCCATGCAACTAGCAATTATATGGCAGTTCAGAATAAAAGTCACAAGCGTTCTTCAACTTCCCACACAGCAAATGTCTCAAAATTCGCTCCAAAAAGAAAAAAAAGCACGCGTCTACTTGAGAAAAAAAAGCACAATTTCAGAAAGTAAAGCAATTGAAGAAAACAAAACATTGAAGCTAGAAAAAAAAAAGGAAATTAGACAGAAT